CAATGTTGTCTGGACGCAGAACAGCTGGCTTTCAAAACCAAAATATTTCAAGCAAAAATTTTGCAATTGTTATCCGAGCCCTTTCCCACATAAGCAAACCTGCACATGAACTTCTGACCAATCACACAACACTCTGTGCATTCACCTGTGAGAGAAAGTTCAGCCCAAGTTTTGTGTCAAGAAGGGGCAGATGGAAAAAACACATGACAAAATATGACAGTTTTTGTCAGTCAGCTGCGACAATGAGAGCCCATTTCATGGCTTTGGATCAAGTATGTGGGGGCCTCCCCTATCTCTGTGATTGAGCTGGACCAGGAAGCTCATTCCAATTCAATTCAAGTTTATTTATATAGCACCAAGTCACAACATACGTTGTCTCGGGGCACTGTACATAAAAAGATCAATCTAAAGAAGAAACCAGCAAATTGTGTTGAATCACTTCATCACAGTCTCCCATCCTGAGCAAACGGTGGAGAGGAAAAACTCCCCTTTAACAGGAAGAAACCTCCAGCAGAACCAGGCTCAGGACAGGAGACCATCTGCCTTGACCAGCTGGTTGAGGGACAGGAAAGAGACACAAACATAGAAGAACTGGTCCAGGACTGGTCCAGGTGCACCTTCTTTTGGAAGAGACAAAGAAAAAACATGATAGAAATAATAACATTAAACATGTAGTGAATAAAGACTAAAGACAACAGCAGAGTGAGGAAATGTGCTCAGTTTGTGCTCCAGCAGAAATGAAGAATAATTCAGGAAACCTAAGTCTAATTATAGGATTTATCAAAAATTAAAAGAAATCATTTCAGTTCCTTGTCTCCTGGATCTTTTTCAGTTCAATTCAATTAAGTTTATTTATATAGTGCCAAGTCACAACGAAGGGTACTGTACATAAACATTCACATACATTATAAAAGCCAATTAGTAAAAGTTATCAATCTAAGGAAGCCAGCAGATTGTGTTGACTCATCACTTCATCACAGTCTCCCATCCTGAGCAAGCACATTTCTTTCAGTCTTTCAGTTTCTTTCAGGGCCATTATCGTTAAAAAGGTTTATAACGTAGGTGGACCACTTATTTGAGAGCTTTGTGTTTTGGCTCAGTTCCTGTTTTACCGTGACGCTACTGCAATCAAAGTGCTGATCAATCTCTCGTTCAGTCTTGTCTACAAGAATCCAAGATACTTGAGGCAAAGACTCCCTTTTTTTTTAGAGAATAACCATATCCCTAAGTTTATACAAGCTAACCACCATCCAAGATGTTTTACACTAGAACCGTCCCAGAGCTTGCTAAAAATCAAGACATCCACATAAAAAAACAGAGCCTGATGTTCCCACAACTACCGCTTAAGGTCCAGTCCACAATTCAATACAACTTTATTTATAAAGCATTTTAAAAACACTGTTGGCCAAAGTAGTGTACGCTGATAAAAACACAATAAAGCATAAGCATAAAAAACAATAAACTAAGTAAAACGAGACATTTTAACTCTAACAACAACAAACGAAACAATATAAAAACTAAAAACAAGCTGAGTTAAAAGCCAAGGAGAACAAATGTGTTCTAAAACACAGGAAGTGAGTCAACCTGTGTGATTTGCAAACTCGGCTCATTCCACAGTTCAGGGGCAGCGACTGAAAACGCTCGATCACATCTCAGGCTTCTGTTTGATGTTGGATAAACCAACAGGAAGTGATCTGCTGACCTGACAACAGAGTGATTCTAAAACAGGGGTGCTGCGGTCCAGAGAGCAAAGGTTTTACCAGTGGAAAGGTGAGCAGCAGCATGAAGCACTCGAGTCAGTGCTGCCTGCTCTGCCCAACATAATGCAGTCATCTAAATGAGTCGTGATAAACGCACGGACTAAAACCACTAAATTATGCTGTGAAAGAAACGGTTAAGCAATAAAGCTGGACTTGATCAACTTGACAATATTCATGTTCGGACCAATAGTGAGGCATCAATACCATTGATCCCAGAACTTTGTGCTCTAAAATCAATTCTGAAATCAATATATTGATACTTTGATACTTCTGTCACTTCAGGTAATGTATACTGTTAACAGGAACACTGGAAGATAACTAAACCACTGAAATCTGGTCTGAGTCATATGCAGTTGGTGGGAACTACTTTTTCCTCCGCCAGGGTAATACATAAGCAGAATAGCACACGCTCAGTCTATAAATATTACATGACCAGCATTTTCATATACATGAAGATTCAGGTTTTCTGTTTTATAGTACCTCCAGATAATTAAACAATAATTTACTTTAACGATTTTGTTATTTTAGTTCTTTTCTTTATTGTTTGAAACATCACAACTCTGGTATTTTGTATTTTTTTAGGGCTGTCAAATGATTAATATTTTTTAATCTGATTAATCCCAAAG